CTCAAAAGGTCAAGGCTGCGAAGTGTCTGCTGGAGTGCGGTGCCGACCCCAACCAACCCCGTCAAAGTGATGGTCGTCCCCCAATATTTATGGCTCTCGAAGATGAGTCGCTTGTGGAAGCTCTGGTAAAACATGGCGCGGACTTGTTTAAGACATTCCAAGGATGGCGGCTAGACGCCCACCCAGATACGTCGCCGCCCATAGCGCGAATGATTAAGAAGCTCCGACAGAGCATGTGATGATTTCAAGTGATAGTGTGTGTAGGGGAGGGGAAAAAAGATAAAAGGGCACCAACAAAGACATGGGGTATTGTATGCATTTATAGTGCTTGCTTTTTCTCTCCTTTATGTATATTTTATGTACAGCAACTGAGGATGTGTGTAAGGTGAATGTCGGTGAAAGAATGTGAAGGAATTCAGAGAGACCATTTGTACTCTCCCGCTCGATGTGGAATTTGTGAGAAAAAAATGTTTCTTTTTTTTTTTCTTTTAGTTTATTTCTTTCCCGTGCACCTTTTTTTCTTTTTATTGTTTTATTATTTATTTATTCATTTTTATTATTATTATGTGTGTGTTACTTGTGGTGCTGTTGTTGTTCTCTTGTTTCTTTTCCCTTTTTATTTATTATTATTTCTTCCCTTTCTGGATGGTTTTTCTTGGTGCTTTTTTTCTTTTTCCCTTTTAGGAGTCATTTGTGTTGTCGGGTGTTGGTGGTAAAAAGAAGTGAAGGAAACGAACACGCCGAGGTGATGGTTAGTTTGTGTAGCAAGAAGGGCCCGTTGGGGGCAGCGCTGAGTTTGTCCGTCGCAACGATTGGCGCAGGGACTCTCACGTTGCCTTTGACTTTTGAAGACTGTGGAATTCTTCCTGTCATTGCGTTTATGGTCCTCGTTGGGGCCTTTACTGTCATTTCGATTGATTATCTCATTCTGTGCGTCGATAACGTGCAGCTGCGATCGTATGAAGAAATCTCTCGTCAATTGTTGGGTCGTACGTTTGAGGAGGTTGCCCGCTGGATGCTTATTCTTTACAACGTCGGGGTTGCGGCAGGGTACATTGTCGTTATTAGAGAACTCTTCGACCCTCTGGTGCCGATCATCCGAGGGCACTTCCCATTTCTCGATAGCTCCATGCGCATCATTGTGATTGTTTGGGCATTCCTGATGCTTCCCCTGACATGCATTCCACAGATAACATCTCTACATTTTGTGTCCTTGATGGCAATTGCTTTCCACCTTTGTTGTCTCCGGTCTTATTGCCTACCGCTACTTTGTGCCATTTCATTCGACAGCAGCACAAGAGGGTCATGCTGTGAAGTATTTTTCTCTATCACGTCGCATGGTATTGACCCTGCCGATATTGATGTTCTCATTTGACTGTCAAACACTTGTGTTTCAGATTTATGCCGGTATTGGTGAACAGACCCCAAAAGGTATGAGGAAAGTGTCGATAATTAGCATCGGGATCACTGGGGATGGTTTATTGG